AAAATTTAGAAGACATGCATATCACCGATATGTAAAATTCAATATAGCACTCTTGTCATATTATTTTACATATAAATGGTGTCCCAAAATTAACGCAAGATTTGAATTTGCCGCCATTTGTGCAGTAAAGTGTTGGAAACCCCCAAAAAAAAAGAACAATTTGACACTTTACTGCAAAAATGGCGGTATATTTTATATTTGCTTTTGATTTTCCTTTTGCAAATTAAATATTTTAACAGCTGTCACAAAATTTGGAAAACATACACAAGTAGATAGGTAGAAAAATATTTTTTAAATTTATACATATTTTGACAGCTGTCACAAAATTTAGAAGACATGCATATCACCGATATGTAAAATTCAATATAGCACTCTTGTCATATTATTTTACATATAAATGGTGTCCCAAAATTAACGCAAGATTTGAATTTGCCGCCATTTGTGCAGTAAAGTGTTGGAAACACCCCAAAAAAAAACAATTTGACACTTTACTGCACAAATGGCGGCAAATTCAAATCTTGCGTTAATTTTGGGATACCCTTTATATAGTTTGACATAATAATCACGCAAAGTATAAAAATATTTTGATATTTGCAAATTAGATTTTCTTTTAAGTTTACATATATATTTCGACAACTATCACAAAATTAGTTATTATTATTTTTTTCAGCAAAACAAAAATTGTTAATTTTACTAGCTTTTACAATATTTTTATCTTATATATTATAAATTGTGTATTATTTATAAAAACACTTAAATAGATACGATTAATCAAATTATACATTAAATGAATATGTTTCATTCTTCTGTGATAACTTAAAATTAATAATGTCTCAAGTGCTGAGTATTTCAGAGATGCTTATTGAAAACTGTACTATTTTCGTCTCAAAACATAAATGAAGCGAAATATTAATCTGTCATTGCCGTAGTTATTTGCGATTTATCTTGTATGTTCCTAAACGCGGACAATCCATGACAACAAAATAATCGCATTACGGTCGTTGTGGGCCCTAGGCACCGCTTAAATAAATTCGAATTTAAATATTTTTACATTTACAGTATTACAATCATTATAAGCAGGTGAGGATTGCTTTGAATTCTAATTAAACGAGGGGCCCGAAAAATATCGTGGGTCTCTAATAAACTCGTTGTTCCTAGGTCACAGTACCTAATGGATAAAAAAGGCATTGATAATTTGTACATATATTTTCAATAATGAAAACAATCCTTATAAAGATTTTTTCTCTCTAATATTTACTTGTTTGATTTAAATGATGAACATTAATTAAATATAAAATGTTGATTAAATATTGTTAATTAACTTTAATATTTAGATTAATTAATGGAATAATTAAGAATTACAGTTTATATTAAGTATAAATTTGTTCATAATACTGGCACATCCATCCACAAGAAAACTAGTCAAGATTCTAGTTATTAATTTCTAGTGAATATGAAAACTAAGTACTGAGAAAGTTAACAAGTTCTGCAAAAGTTTGCAGAATATATAAAGCACACGTCTTCGATGCAAAGTGTACGCTAAAATGTAAACCAATTTTTCTTTATATTTCATAAACTTTCCTAATTACAGAACCAATTACGGAACTCTTTAAGGAAATACTCATTTTTTTTTGTTGGTTGGAGTAATCTATTAAATGCGAAGCGTCGTAGGAAAGTTGAAGTCCTTCGGCGTTTTTTTCTTCTTGTTATGCTTTTATATCCTTTCTTTGATAAAATACACGTCCGATAAGGAAAATAAACTGAAATTGCATAATAAAAACCCGATACTCTTCGTTCATCCATCTACCACCTCCGCATCGTTCTTCTTTTACACTTTTTTTTTTGTTGGGAGATAAACATCCGTAATATTAAGAACGACTTTGGCCTGTCTCCGTTCTTTATTAAGTCATGCATCAACGTAAAAATGAAAACAGCGAAGGTCTGACGTAATTTCAATTCATAAAGCACACGAGATGCGCGAGGTCAAGATTAGGATGATGGATATAACGACCAGGCGTCTATTTATAACGTTTTTCGGGCTAAAATTAGAGTCAACGTATTGTTAAAAATACGCTCATCGTAATTCGCGCGCTCGCTTCTTTCGAATCTCCTCAACTCCTCTCTTCCCCGTCCCCTTTCCAATTGTTTCTAATTAGTTCTCGTGTATTTTTGTGTTTTAATTAAGTTTCTAAAGTTAGGAAAATGCATTAAGCGAGAAATGCAAACACGCATTTGAAACAACACAGATTTAGAGATGGAAATTGAGTAACGAAGATTCGGCGAATACCGCACATCACCGCTCGATCTAGGAGACATACTTATTTCGGTCCATTTCTTATCATTAGCCTATTTCACTCAACAATTCTAACTATGATGATGATTCATCTTATGGCCTTTTTTAATTTGCTTCACTTGTTTTTACATCTTTGCATTATTGGATTATTGACAGTAATACCAATAGTATGACTTAATTATAAGACACTTTTCTCTTAACTAGTTATGTCGTATATATTCGTCATGGTCTCTTGTATCACGTAGCGTTTATGACGAATATATTTGCATCATTGCGACAAAAATCCGTGGCCACTAGGGAAGCCACTTCAAACTGCTTACATGGTTGTTTACGTAACATCTACTTAATTTAACAGTATTTAAAGAAATATAAGCATTAATGGAATGGTCATTAATATTCATATCTAGCAATTATAAACTGTATTCAAAATCACGTAAATTTATGCAACAAGTAATGCATATTAATTAACACTAATAATTACAGTTCAAGTTACTTAAACTTTCGTTCATTAGCCTTTTTTATTATTGTTCTTGTTAACGCAAACTTTACTAATTTTTACATCCAATTTATTAAATAAATTAATAAACGAAACAATTAGTAATAGTAATTTACAGCTGGTTCCATCTATCGTTACTTTTCCCTAATAAAATTATCTCATTCCATCTATCTTTTCAATAATTACTTCATTCAAGCAATCTTTCCAAATGACAAAAACCATACTTTTTATAAGTTGTCACATAATCAATAAATGTCAAAAATAAAAATGCTCTACATTAATAGAAAAAAATACTAATTATTTATTTTTCTTTGAGATTTCATACAAAATTTAATGAAAAATGTTGTTTAATGCATGACAATTTAATTATTACTTTATATTACGAATGTCACATAGATGAAAGAAAAAAGCAGTTTAATAATGTCAACAGAATCAAGTTTGCGTCTCACTTATTATCGGAAAGTTAGGAAATGGCTTTCGCTGGAATAACTCGTTCAAATATTGAAACTGTCGACGAAGATTTATATCATATTTCTGCGGAGAATAAAGCTGTGAACTAGAATTATAAGTTTAATACTAAGATCGATAATTCTAGAAGATCCAATAAATTTTGTCTCTAACATTTCAACGTAATAAAACTGCCTAATTTGTACTACCCTTTAAAAGTTTATACCTGAAATGTTGCCAGCTTATTTTAAATCAATTTTATAGTTTTAAAAAAAATGGGAATTTTATTAATATTATAGAAATATAGAAGTAAAAAGCTTTGAATTCATATTTTTGTTTATGAAGTTTATTTCATTCGTGAAAACTTGCAACAGTAGAAATTTTGTAGTTGAAAAACGTTGTATATTATTGATGTTTGATGTTTCATCAGAATGAATCCATTTGTTACCACAAAGAGAATCCGATTGATGATGTGCATGTATCATATGCAAATCGATGCTCCGGAAACTGCGATTGCATTTGTTCACTATTCAGTGAACAAAGCACACTGACAAAACAGAAACAAATTTGACACGGATTCGCGTCAATTGGTAGCGCCATAAAATCAACGGATTCCGAGCGGAGAAATCGGCTATGGGATGCTGTAAATAGACCAATTCCATTAACAAAATTATGAAGGATCAATGGTGTCGATTAGAGGCGACCACACGGAGTTGCTCAAGGAGTTGCTGCCGCCGCCTGCATACGAATGGATCTGATTTATATGTTATTATCGATTTTAAATTGGCCCATTTATACCGATCGGATTTTGGCCTCCCGAAAAGCCACAACACTTAGACATTCCTAAAGACCGTTCTATCGCTTTGAGAATCTAGATAATGGCTCTACTCTCTTTCTCTATCACATCTCGAACAGTGTTAAAATAGGACCGAAAGGCTACAAGAATAAAAAAAAAAAGTAAACTTGTCGCTCGTCCATTTGAATTAATTAATTGGCTCCGATGAAGAAATAGGAGCAGATTGCTCGAAATGTCCTTAAAATAAACTGCACATTACGTTGCAGCTTAAGAAGGATCACGATTTAATTAATTGTTTATTCTCTGCTTTAATTAATTGTTTATTGGATTCGGGAGATTATTTATTAATCCACTCTTTCATATATAAATCAAAGATTACGGATAAAAGCAGTTTAAAGCTGCGATAGATCAACGATGTTTGTTTGTTTGTTTGTCCGCTTATGGAAAATCCTCCTTACTTTCATTTCAATGTAAATTTGTATTCCTCACATGGTGAAGAATTCTTATGTATTCTGAGGAATTAAGCATAGTTAAATGAAAGACATTAAAATTGTTGTTATTTGAAAAAAAATTGTTCGAAAAGGAATTTAAGATTATAGTAAATCGATCAAAAATTTCTCGAACAAATTGTTTTCGAACAATTTTCCTGGAACCAATTTAATAGATATTTAGTTTGGATGATAACATCGACCGGCTTTATAAAGTACATTGAATTTGTGACCTGAGGCCTTCGCATTATTCGGCGAAATTAATGTCTTAATATCAGTTTTTTTCTTGTTGAATAAAACAAAAACGTGATTGATTGGTGTCTCACACTGTAGCTATTTATTAAATAACCGACTTGTAATAAACTCTAAACGCAGACCGATTATTTCGTTCCCCCGAAAATTACTGATTCTCACATTCAAAGTAATGATATGTGATGGAAATTTCATGATGATGAAGATGATGTATTCTTTCTGTTGCAGAGTGTGGGCGCGAATGGAGTGATCGGGGCCGTCGAGGATGGTCCAGAAGAGTGCACGTCCTGCGTGAAGGACAACTGCCGCAGTATCTCCGGTCTCTACACCAGACCCGATCTTCCCGCAGGGTATTCTTTGGTGGCGCAGGTCCCCAAAGGAGCCTGCAGGATACTTATACAGCAACTCAAACACACCAAAAACATACTGGGTATGTACATTATTCATTTATTTGCAAACCGTTTTATTCATGACCCTTGCTTCTTACCCTCACGGCTCTACCAACGATTACGCCATTATGATTTAAACATCGCAAGGCGCCCATAACTCATCGAAAACCCAATTCCTAAAACATCCTTTTACATGGAGAAATTCCTCTTCAGATAACATACAACTTCATTCGTACTTCAATTGTTAGAAATGTAAAGAGGCGACATCTATACCAAGACTAATCAAATTTATTATACAAGTTCAAACAATCATTCTAATTCGTTTCTTTTCAATTAACTTAAACTGAAAACGAACCTTTCGCTACGTATCATCCTCCGCAATGTAATGAATTTGTTCTGTATATTTAATTATCAAAATAATTACTTTCGTATTCTACAGGCGACCAAATTAATTTATTTGCATGTCTTTAGTTACTTTTTTTAATAATTTATTATTTTTCTATAATTTAATTACGTTTTTTTTATAAATATTATTTAATTCCTTTTCATTTTTAAATATTCATATTACAATTATTAAAAAGAAGCAACATCTATAATTTACACAATAATTGATCTACAAATACAAGTTTAATCATCTTCAATTTTTATTGATTTGGCAAAATACCTTTGTCATTAAACTATGGGTTGTAATAGGACAATAATTCAACAAAATAAGTTCGATTTTGTCTGATCAATTAATAACTATACAAAATATCGTATTAATAAACATAAATATGTAGATTTTTATCGATTAAACACTTTAACTGTCAAATTGATTTCAAAAGTAAATTGCATCGGAATAGGGCGATTCTTTTCTGATATAATTATACCAACATTATTAATTATTAATGAAAAATTAATCATTGCAACTATCTACTAAACGTGCGTTGATAATACACTTAGACAACCCAATGTACATATAATTAAATTTTCTATCAAATTAGTTTTTTTTTTTGTAATAGGTAACACTAAATCCAATAATTTTAGGATATAAACATTGATTGTTTTTTAAGTTTCCTGAAACAATAAACAAATTGCTTTAAATAATAATTATTCAGAATAGATTAATTTCAATCAAAATATTTGCTTGAAAGTTTTGTTATTTCTTCTTTATAAAACATTGATATGAAACGCAAGAATAATATTTATACAGGATTCCAAGCATTCCAGGTACGCCACTTGGACTTTCTTTTTTTTTCATTTATACTTTATCTATGTTTGCTTAGATCTTTCGAGGAAAGGTTTTAATAAACCTTTTTTTATATAAAATTACTCTGTACTTTGATACTTTCAGTTGAATCGTTCAAAAAGTGTATTTTGCTATAGAATTCTGCGGCAGATTTAAATTTAGTAATTTTGTGCTTGGAGAGGATATGAATAGCAGAAGAACCGAAAATTACGTTTGAGTTATAAATACTGAAATTAGCGTCTGGCAATTCCAAGTGTATCTCCGAATGACGAAAATCGATTCGGAAAACGTGCGTTTTCCAATAAGTTTCCACTCAAACGTCGCTCGGAGCAGCGATTAATTATACTAATTGTGGCGTTTGATATTTGCAGCAAATGCAGCTCTCCAACTGCGAAATGCAAATGTGCATACGTGTAAAACATTTCACTGCGATTTCCTTCCTGCAGATGCAAGCAGGATTTCGCAATCGCCATTTGTAGAATGTTACCTCCTCAATTTCGGCGTGAAACAATATGTCGTTAGAAATTAAGATGTATCTGTTGCTGGATACGAGTAGGTACATGGAAAGTGAATCTGTGATAGTGTTCAATCAATCAAATATCCCATCGATCGATAATTCTGGCAAATTCGCATTGTTGTTTGCAGCGTGGGCTCTTCTACCAAAAGTGCCTCCATCAACAACCTACAAGATTCAATTAGCTTCTTTTTCTTTCCATGATCCTCGATGCGGGAACGCATTTAACTTTATTATTATTACCATTGTCGCATTCACATTCAAATACATTCTGCGTACTTCAAATTAATCGCTTCATTTCTAGAATACTTTATTCCCACATTCCGTATTCGCTGTTGCAGCTTTACGATTATTAGCTTCTTCTTAATGCTGTCTCCAAGGCGACGGACATATATGAATACGGCATTCTTGAATCTTGCTTGAAATCAGATACAAATTGACAATTATATTCGTATATTACGTAAATTCCAAGATTATCTTAACAATGCTTGACGATGATAATTTACATACTTTTATAGGTACTTAATGTTGAAAAAATATTACAAATTTAAATTAATTAGAATAGAAATGTACTTATTTCTAATTTTCTTGTTACTTATTCGTTAGTTTGTTCAATATCGATCTAGGCAACCCAATTTTCATACATTATTCAAAATTTGTTAAGATTCTCTAATATTACATTTTAGATATTCCTTTTGAATTATTTATTTTAATTACAGCATTGAAGAATTCGAATGGATCATACTTTTTGAACGGAGATTGGCAGTTCAGTAATAGCAGAATAGTGGAAGGTGCTGGCGCTCAATTAACGTATAGAAAGCAGGATGGTGCATCGTTGGAAACAATCAGCTCAGGAGGGCCTCTTCAGAATGCCATCGATATCATGGTAATATTTATCACTGAAGAATATACGATTTAAACTTCTTGGACGTGTGTTTCTAATATAGGTGTTCTATCAACAACCGAATCCTGGCATTAAGTATGGATATTCTTTACCGGTGGAAAATCAACTTGGATCGGAAAGGAGTACCTCACACAGACCGGCGACTAGTGATATTGGGGTAGTTGAGACTCGTCGTTTAGATAGTCCCAATTCTCTTAGTCAAAGGGATGAAGCGAAGCCGGTGCATCCTCATAGGAGGCAGCGTCTTCGGAGGAAGTTCACCTGGAAGATCACCGGAGTATCGGCTTGTTCCAAAACATGTGGAGGAGGTAATTGCTTTGATTTCAATTTGAGCGTAATTGTGTATGTGTGCTTCTGCAGAATGTTTAATGGTTGTTTGTTTGTTGTGAAGGTTTCCAGCAGACTGTGTTGACGTGCGTTAGAGAGCACAACCAGACTCCTGTGATGGATAGGAGGTGTATGCACGTGGAGAAACCTACACCTCATCCGATCCGATGCAATACTAAAGATTGTCCACCGAGATGGGGCGGTCATTGGGGCCCTTGCACCGGATCATGTGGGGAAGGCCTCCAAGAGTACGTCGTGCAGTGCATCTCCGAGCTGAATACGGGTCGAACCTCCGTGCAGAACGACGCTTCCTGCCCTCAGCCTAAGCCCACCGCCTCCAGTCAAAGTTGCAATCTTCAGCCTTGCGATTCGACAAGCGAAAACGACCTCTACCCCGACGATCGACACTCTAAGACCAAGAGTTACGGAACCTGGATCACTGGCCAATGGACACAGGTATCGTCGTCATACAAATTTTAGTTTTTAAAAAACTATTATTATTATTGTAGTTAATTTAATACCGTGATTGAATTAACAAGAAATTAATATTATGTTTCCTTCATAGTGCTCCATGTCCTGCGGCACTGGCACCAGAACTCGCAGCGTCTCCTGTCCATCAGGTAATTGTCATCCTGGAGATAGACCCGCCAAGGCCGAATATTGCGAGAATGGTTTATGTTCATCTTCCGGTGAGACGTCTTCTTGGCTTCTATCCGAGTGGTCGCAGTGTTCGGAGCATTGCGGCACTGGGGTGCAGTCGCGTTTCGCCATTTGCTCGAAGAGCGTCTGCGAGGAGTCTAAGCCGGAGGTGACGCGCGGCTGCTCCAGCGAGAAGGAATGTGGAGGACAATGGTTCACAGGACCTTGGGAAAGCTGCTCCAATTCTTGTAGCGGCGAAGCAAAGCAAAAACGCGACGTGTTCTGCGTGGTGAAACTCCGTGGTCATGCTCGCATCACCGTGGATATGACGTGTCCCGCAGGTCAGAAACCTGAAGCGGAGAGGTCGTGCTCCGGGAAGTGCGAACCCTTGTGGTTCTCAGGTGAATGGGGAGGATGCGAGCACTGCCCAAACGGCGTCCAAAGGAGGGAGGTGAAGTGCCTCACCGGAGACGGACAACATTCTACCAGGTGTCAACCAGAGCACATGCCTTTGATCAAGAGGTCTTGCAGCTGCCCCAAAGCCGAGGAATCCAAGTTGAAGCCTTCTCACGACGAACCGATCGACCGTAAGACCAACTACAACCATTATCTTTATCACATCAATACTTTCTTTTTCTTTATTTAAAGGTAATTGCGTTGACAAGATATCCAACTGCCACCTTGCAGTGCAAGCGCGCCTCTGCCAGTACGGGTACTACACCACGCATTGCTGCGTGTCCTGCAAACGATCGAACCAGGATCTGATCGAATAGAAGAAAGACCACCGATCGACGCGTAGATAGATAGTTAGACTGTGATTGAATGAGTAGTCAAATGAAATGAAAGCGAACTGACTGTAACCCTTCCCCTTACCCCAATATTCTTCATCGCCAAAAAAAAAAGTAATGCAACACCTCCTTACAACCCTTTCCCCTCTTCGTTAGTTGCATTTGTGATTTCCTTCTGAAAAGCACGGAATGTCCGAAAAACACTAACACACCGCTTCAGATCGACGCCTCTATCACGTCGTGCAAAAAAAAAACACTTGCCATTATTTATGCACCTGTAAATTAATAATTAAAAAAATCGTAGTTGGTGTCAATGATATATGCTAAGTAAAAAAACATATAAACTCGGTATCAATCAAAAGTGGAGAAACTGTCATGAAAAAAACATTATATTTCAATCAAATGATAGCAAAAACTTCATTAAGTTTAGATAAATTTAATAATAATTTCCGTATCAAAAAAATAAGCAAAATAAGAAGAAAATTAATAAAATATTATATAAAATTGATATGTTAACTTCTGATTGGTACTGAATACGAATATTATAATAATAAACGCTCTTCATTCTCATTATTTACTTTATAAAAAATATGTACTTCTAACTCTAATAAACCTTCAGAGAGATGAAATAAATCAAGAGACAGAGAGAGAGAGAGGCAAAATAAACGAAAAAAAGGAACATGTATAGTATTTATATTCACGATTTAGGTTTTAAACTATGTAAGTTTAGCTTTAATGAAATCGAGTATTATATCATAAGCTGTATGTATTTATTAGAAATGTCATACATATAAATATACATAAATATATATATATAATAATATTAATAATAAATAATAGATTGGATGGTAGTGCCCACTACTTAATCATTTGTTTTATTTGATTGGTGATTGAGATGAATGAGTACACGAGAGACCACAGACAGATCACCACGGAGACGACCGTCGCTCCGATCTTGGACTCCTCCGATTGGAAGAAGAATGGAGTGTTGAAGTAGCCGGTGCAGAGACTGGCCACGGTGAAGATGTAGCTGAGGATACCCAGGATATTGTGAATCAACAGCGCAATTGGTCTGTAGTCGGTCTTTAGGGCTTGAATAATACTGGTAACCGCTCCGCTTATCGTTGCCAGAAGAAGTATTATCAAGCACAGTAATCCTGAAACATCATTACAATTTCTTCATAATCGAAAAAAAAACGCAAAAAAAATTGATGACTATAACATCAATTTATTTTTTGTTACCATAGAAATAATGCAGGAATAATAAATTTGTTCACTGATGAATTTGAAAGAAAATTGTTATGTATTAAAATTATGTTTCTTATAAGTCTTAAAATATACTATTGATTCTCTAATTTAACAATAACTAAATTATTTCCTTAACGTAAAAAATGGACTATTTTATCTTCTTTTTTTTTCATTAATTTCCTTATTAGACTTAATTAGTTTCTAATTTTTTGTGGTATTAGTAATAAGTTCAATATAATTAAATTAAAATACAATTATTATCCGAGATTGTGCATTTATATATAAATATTATGACGAATCATGATGATGTAACGTAAAAAAACAATCTTTGATAAGATTAGCGAATTAAGTGATAACACCGATTTTTGGGAGATGAGTAATTGGAGTGATATTTACCTACAATCGCGTGGGCCGAGACGAAATGTTCTTCGGCGCCGCGACGCGCGATTTCGATGCCGACGCCACCGCAAATGAAGACCACCGATACGACCATAACGATCACGTGATTTCTCTTGATGCCCTCTTCACTCAATCCTGTATTGTAGACGTTATCCTTATGAAAGAGAATCATGCCTTCTGCCATCAACGGGAACAGCTATAAACAATAATCAACGTTACTCACTCATTTGTTATTTTTACGTTTGTTTTAATCGTTAATTAACACCCACTTGATCTTGATTTTAATAATATCCGATAATACATAAAATAAATGTATCATATTTTTATCACGATAAAACCCTAATTAAATTATAATTTAAGGAAGCAATGCAAACAATTGATTTTTTAGTGACGTTCTTTTGAAGTTAATTAATATTTTTTGTTTTAAATAAAATTTTCAATAATTTAAATGTTTATTGGTAAAATGTATAGACATTTCTTGAAAACTAAAGAAAAGTTAAGTGATGACTTTAAAATTAATTCAGTTTATGTACATTAAAACAAGATAAAGTAAAAATAAATTAATACATTAACTATCATTTAAAATATCAAACAACATTGTAGCTTCAAGAATTGCTTACAATTTTAATTAAAAAGCAGTATTTCTTCAAGTTTTATGCTTTGGAATAGTGTTTAATATTGATATTTTCAAGTTAGTTTCAATTCAAGTAGATATATATAGTAATAAAAGGAGGTGGATTGATTGCTATTTGTTTTTATTGTGAGCAATCAATTTATTACTTGTTTTTAGATATAAAGATAATTAATTAAGTAATTGTCAAAACTGATTTAAGAAAAACAATTAAAACATTTAAATGAAACAAGTAAAACTACCGAAAATATAATAATATTAATATAATTTAAAAATATAATAATTACCCCTAGAGAGCAAAGAATAACGTGCCATGACAATAAACTTGAGGAATTGAGTAAAGGAGTCCAAATATTGTAGACAGCGATGACGGCAATCAATTGATGAAGGAACGTATTCACCACAGCTCTAATACACTTCAGATATCCAGCTTCTTGCATATTTCACTCTTTCTTTTAATTACCTGAAAATGAAAAACGCGTAACGGAAGCGCGTTGCGAACGTAAAATTATACCTGCACGCAAAATGACAAAAGGATTGTTACTATTGTTATCAAGCGCTGATAAGATTTCGTAAGCCAAAGATATGGATGATCAGTTTAGTATACACATCTATTAATTTCCTGTAAATGAATGAATACATTCATTCCGCTAATTAGTCAATAAAAACAAATATTATAGGTGATTCATATCTACTTTAATTCTCAATAATAATTATTACAAATATAATTATTAATCATAAACAATATGATTGTGTTAATTTTGTATAAAAAAATTATACTTATAAATCTTAATTATATAACATTATTAAAGTGTTTTGTAGTAATCAAAATTATTATAAAAATATTTAACAACAATCTATTCTGATTCGAATAAATTAGTGTTCTTTGCGTCTGTTCTTCTTCAGTTTACAATTTGTACTATATTGCAACTTTGCTTCGTTTCCATAAGTTTTCAATCTTTTAGAATCGATTAGCCGAAATTCGATTTATTTTAATAAATCTAATATGAAGTTCTCCATTACAGCTTGAGCTGAAATAATAAGATTAGTATGATAATATTTTAGTAGTCTGCATATTGTCACCTAATTTACTACCATAATCTACAGACAGACTAAATGCTGTCTCATTAGAATGGTTAACTATATTGAGATTTGCTCCATGTATGAGAAGTTCATTGCAAGAATGTGGATGGTTTCCACTGGCGGCGTACATTAACGCTGAATTTCCCACCTGAAATAGTTATGAAATAGATTGAAGTAATTCAATTAAACACTGCTACTAACATCATCAACATGATTGACATTGGCTCCTTTGGTCAACAAGTGTTTGACTACTTCATGGTGTCCACCGTTTGCTGCAAGAAGGAGAGGAGCTTCACCCTCTGTGCCAACTCTGTTGACATCAGCCTTATGCTCGATTAACAATTTCACAGCATTGATTTGTCCATAATTGGAAGCCCAATGCAGTGCAGTCAGACCATTCTCATCGCAAGTGTCAACACACAACTCCTGTTTGATGTCCAGCTCTGTGATTTCACCCTGGCCAGCTCTGGTGTGGAAATTGATGTCAGTTGGCTGTGGGATAGGGGTGGCTGCCTGAGTGTTGCCCCTCTGTAGGTTTGTGAGTACAGTTGCCTGCTTCTGCTTGTAGGGTTGAAATGCACTCTTGCGGGTAGCATCTTGCCACGAACCTGGGGACCACTTCTTCGCAGTGCTGTTCAACTCAGGAAATCCGACAGCACCCAATGAATCGTTTATTATAGGTTTCACGTCTTTCTCGTCGCTGGAATCGTTGAATTCCATATCTGCTACTACAGTAGTCTACGTTGATATGGTCGGGATCAGCTGATATTGTCTAACCTCAAATTCCTGATGACAATAAATCGAAACAGTAAACAATGTAACCTTTGTACGGTAATAATCAAATGAATCAATTAAGTTTAAAAAAGGATAGCGATCAGTGCACGCTAACGAGACGAGAATGGAGACCCTAGTGAAACTGAATTCGCAGACAGCCGGTAGAGACAAACTTGCAAGGTAAAATATTAACATCCAATTAAATGATAATCACTCTTCAATTATATATTTCCTTTCAGATTGTTGCAATATCTTAGCCGAATAATATGGCACTCCTTGAAGACCAGGAACAAAACTGGGGTGGATAGCATTAAAAACATAGAATTTCAATTGAGCACCTTCCGCAAATGTAAGTCAAATAACCAAAATAATAAAGTAACCATCTAATAATTTTTCTTATTTCCAGTGTTGAGATTTGGTCGCTTTGCTGATACTCTATACACAGCCATACATCAAAACCATAAAGCTACTGCCAAGCATTCTGTATCCATCATAAGCAAAGTGTACTCATCTTTTTTCTTATTTGCTGATCACATGCTATGGCTGGGAAGGGCCGATGTTTGTAAAGTCGACACGGACAAATGGAGCCGACGTTCAAATCAGTACTGGCTATATTCCATAGCCTTCAATCTGATTGTGGATTTCATGCAGATCTGCACGGTTTTATCGAATAACAGGAGCCGCATTTTGCCGAAGCAGGGTTTGAAGGGAGCTTCGGACGTTGGGCAGATTTGCTCGAAAAGCGTGAAATGCTTGCAGGAGAATCGTGGTCTCGTCGTTGACACTGTCAAGAATGGTTGCGACTTCTTCATCCCTTTGAATGCATTGGGACACGTGAAATTATCACCTGGAACGGTGGGATGGCTCGGAGTTGTCTCATCCTTGGCAGGATTAATCGTACTTATTGATCCAAGAGCGAAATTAAATTAAATTTCCTCTCAATAGTTTGGTGATGGACTTTTATAAAACTGGTGTTGTGATAGCGTACGTTCAAATCAAATTGTTCTTTATTTTACTATTTATATGTTTTAATCAATTTATATGTACATAAATGAAGGTTGTTGTATAAGTGTTTTCATGCTGAATGGAATTGGATTTTATATTGTTTGTATTACTTGTTAGAATTCAATAAATGTTTAAAAATGAAACTGTAATTTCAATTAAGATTAGTAACGCATGTTTTATGAATTATGAACAATGTGGTTGGATCATTAATTTCGGTAACAGCAGTTAGACAGAATGCGTCCGAACGGTAAAGATTGTTTCGCGTTGATGAATTACGCTCTTCTATACAACCCCAATTTAAAATCAGAGATGAGTCGTCCTGCAAATTTCGAACAAACAGCTGTAAATGTGTCGATTAACGTGGAATCTTTTAGAATGCTCGATGCACCATCCATGGTAAATACAGAATTTAAGAATATTTAACCAAAGTATTTGCTTGTGTCAAGATGTTTCAGCTAACTTTTATATTGAATCAGTATTGGTTCGATACGAGATTAGGAGCGAATCAATACACCTATGTTAACTCGCTGAAGAGCAAGATTTGGAAGCCGAAGATCACAAGTCTGAGCGGCCAACAGAAGTGCTGCGAAGATGATGAAGACGCGATGTTCTGGAGGGTTTACGGTGAAGATGGATTGGTTCTTTTAAGTCAAAAGATGATGATCACCAGCTTCTGCAGAACGAACGAAGATACCATTCCCTTCGACACTCCCAAATGCAACATATCATTTGGTTCATGTATATTAATAATACTTATAATGAAAACTTTACCCTTTAAAGAAATCTTTGAGTTTTCAGACCGATTTTTGGAGGAAGAAGTCCGATTGAATCTGAGCGACGATTTCGTGCGATACGATGAGAAAGATTTCTATTTAAACCAATTTTCGCTGCTCAACATAACCGGTTCATCTTTAACAGTTTTGAGAGAATCAGGTAAAAACAATTTACGTCCTCAAAGTAATACAAGATGTAATCAATATATTACAGGCAACTTCTCCACAGTCGAAATTACCTTCCTCCTGCGACGAAATCGTGAGAACTACATTATGTTCATAGTGATACCTTGTCTGAGCGCAATGGTCATGCTATACTCTACATTGTGGATCAACAATAAAATCGTGCAAAGAGGAATGAGCGCATTCATCTTGCTCTATTTTATTTTCTTGCTATACAACGTGACCAGTTTGCTGAACGGTAACTCTGTCAACGTTCTCAGCAAGTTCGTGCTGAAAAACGTATGTTTCGGGATAATCGCAGCTCTGAAAACGAGTTTCAGTTTGCAGCGCGAATTCAAAAGCGACAAATTCGATAGGTGTCATGTCGTCATGAATCATATCTTTAAGTTAGTTTACCCTTTGAGTTACATATTATTCTTAATATTTGTATAATTTTAATTGATTTTTTTTTTATTAAATAAAATATAATAAATAAGATTTGTACGTATTTTCTAATTACATCAGAAGCAGTCTTCTATTATCATCTTTTTTTGGACTTTGTTCACGTTTTATTTAAATACTCAATAATTAGTCGAAATGTAAAACAAATGAGAACTTTTATTAGGAGAAGTTAATCTTAGAATCACAGAAATATTGGAAAGTAGAATATTTATTAGAAAAATCATGAAAATGATTTATGCTACTGAAAATTTCAATATACTACAGTGCTAAGATATTTTTTACAATTAAGCAATTAACTTTTAATGTTAAAAAGACATTTTTAAAACATATTGAGCTGAGCTATTTAGTAATTTTTGTGAATGCTAACGCACTCTATAGACGTTACGTCATATGAGAAAATCAATAACGTGCAGTTTTCTACGAATACCGAAAGTTGCGCGGATTCTTCTTGTCGCTAGAGTTCGTGAGTGTACGCCTTGAGAAAAATTAAATATCCGTATGATAATTTGAAATTTATTGTTTTTGTTCGGATATATATTTTATTCTTATTGAAGTTATTGCGTCGTCCTGCTAATAAAGAAATAAATATTAAATTGAAAACGTTATATGAGGTGTACTAAAAGAAAATAATGAATTATTTGCTCAAAGGGCGTTAAAGGAAACGTGAAATAAAGAGAACACACAGAGAGAGAAAAGTAATAATAATATATATATAAAAATATTAGAAAGTATTTTCCTCATTAAACGACATAATAAATGGAATGCGGAGTGATTAAATGCGAACTCCAGGTATTGGGCAATTCCTTCTACATGCACAATGGGACAGGGGCAATTTTATTTTCTTCTTTGATTTATTTATTTATCTCGCGTTTGATGCTATCGGATGAAAAGAGAGAGAGAAAAAATACGAATAGAGAAATGAGGAAGAGAGAAAAACGTAATTGAATAGGAAGTCCCTCAATAAATGAAAGGAGTCAAATAAACATAACTCGTAGAATTAGGGATACTCTGGTTCGCGTTTCGCCATTGAATCGTTTTTAAATTTGATATTACGAAATTTTATTTTTTTTTTGGTGCGGCTTTATTCTCGGCGATTCCGATACGACCATGAAAGAGGGCACAGTTGTTGCCTTTGAGGAGACGTGGAGCTTCGATGAATAAAAGAAGAAAAAAGTATATGAAAACGGTTGGGACGACTCGCGCAATAAAAGTATACAGATCGAATCGACGTTATTAGGGTTTCCTCTTCATTATTATTTTGTTGTTGCCTTTGCACACTTTAGGAGTGTGCACGATCCTTTCTTTTGCTTCTTCCCCCTTTTTCTTTTTGTATTTCTCTTCACTCCAAGATGCATTTAATTTCCTTAACTCGATAGGAATACCGACCGACCGATCCATAACTCTCAATTAGTATTGTTATGCACACAATGACATTATTTGCGATTGAACCGTTTTTCTTGCCGAAGCATTAAACACCAACGCTTGAAGATGGAAGTAGAAAGAGCAGAAGAGGAAAAAAAAGGACGTATCAGCAGCACAAAGAAATGAAAACATTGAGGGTTTCGCAGCGAAAATCAATTAGGTGACAGGAAAAAAATATCATCTCCGCATTCAGCGTTCAAATGAAAACATTCAGGATAACACTCGCATGCATATAGAACTGAGCTCTTGAAATCTTCAAGAAAGTATCAATATAACTGATTCTTAGGTACACATTTAGTACTTGAAACATTACTAATGTTTTAATGTTTTCTTTTTCTCTTATGTTCTCTTAAAATGATTTTATGCAAATAATATATATATTTTATATGTTTTATTATAAAATTAATCCTTTGCAGACGACTGACGTATATATCCGCCCAACTTTGTATACATTTGTAAAATAGTATGCATGGCCATTGTGGAGACGCAGTCGTTGAATATTAGTTCTTAGCGAGGCGTTACTAATCGTTTTCAGACAGAACTGTCATGTTTTTTTATTAAGATTTGAAGCTAGTACTACTTGACATATCAAAACCTGCCATTACATAGCGGTTTAGACCGGGCACGTCACAATACTGCGCTCAAAAAGGGTTAAACAAGATTGAATTATGTGATAATGATTCTAATGTGTCTAGGTTTTAGGTAATTATTTGTTATTCCCAAATGAAAAAAAAGTAATAAAATCTTCGCTCTATTGTAATTGTGAGTAGTAACAGTAGGACAATAATAACAAGGAAAATGTGTATGATAATCTTGATGTGAACGAAGCGCAACAATAAAAGGAAAACATCGTATATGCATCTGCATTCATAAAAGTGTACAATGAAAAATGAGGAGACCACATAAGTGCTATACATACAAAAGAGAATGGCTCTAATAGAATTACAATCACAGAGGGATGAACAAAAAATAAACGAGATAAAAGGGGAATAACTGTTTCATTTCCATCCTTCTTAAGTATTTTAAAAGGACGACTTACATCTAGTACTGTGTAAATAAATACGTTGATGAAAAGCATTCGAAATTAGTGTTGAAACTTACTCCAAAGTTCGAGATCAACGTTGAATAAATAATTATATAAAAAAAGAAGGAAATAGCGTTTCGGTATTAAAACACAGTTTGACGGTTGTATAAAAATAAACTCTGTTTGATGTGAGAAATAAAACTTTTCGAATCTTCTACTTCTTTTTCTTCTTTTTTTATTTCTAGATGCAAACGGATGCAAATAATATAAGTTTCCCTGCTTTCCGAAGGACTTTCGATTCGCTTTGCGTTTGCTCTCTATTTGTGGAAAGTCAACAGACATGAGGTGAATTTCAACTAGGAAACCATCGGTTCCCTAATACTTTTGCTTATTAGTTGATCGAGAAGCACTGTCCGACGTTTAACTCCATCTAACGTCGATGTTTGAGTTGCGGATTTGTGCAAATACTCGTTAAATATTCAGAAATCGTTATTTATACGAAGAAGTTCTTCTTACCGAAGTTTCAATTTCCGATCCGATTAAGTTTGTTAAATTTATACTAGTAAATACGAAACAAAAATATGAAGAAGTAAACAATGAAAAATACTTGATAAATCAGTACTGCAGTAATGAGTGTAGAATTTTACTAATACTCGAAAATAAATAGAAAATAAAAAGTTAAGTTTATAAATTATTATTAATCAGTACTTGCCAAGTAACTTATCCATAATCTATTTTAAAGTAAAGTAGGGTTCATTTAAATATTTATATTTAGTTCTTTCTGAGAAAAGTCAAGTGAAATTTTCTATTTTGTCACTCAGGCAATATATTGAGAATGCAGAAGAAAAGTCTCTTTCTGCCTCAACACTAGTAGGTTTCATTATGTAAAGGTGAAAATATCATTAGGTTTTTCATCATTTATAATCAAATTACCAGTATTTGTTGTCGAAATAACCGGTTAACAGTTTACCGGTAATGTGAGCCCTACTTTTTAGGAATTAATCAATTAAACAGTGTACGAGTAATTGATTACGTTAATTATATTAATAAAGATGAGAAAAAGTGAAAAGGTCACGTGGATCGATATGAGCTGAGGCACGTGTACGTGTGTGTACATCATATGCATTAGGTATTTTTTGTTGTTGTTTGGATTGAATTCGTACGGTGCTGTATACGGTCCTTCTTAATGCGAAGGAAAGACTTCACGATATATTCTTGTCGCTGAATATTATAAATTTCAAAGTCGGTACACGAAACATCGCACCCCTCTATAACACCATATACATGCATAGATATATAAGTCTGCATAGATACAGCTATACATATATATGAAGAAGGATGAAAGATAGAGGGAGTTGGTGAGCGAGGAAGAGAGTGAAAGGAAAAGAAAGAGAGCATCTCGGACATTTTCAATAGTAGAAAAGAATGATGGAACCTGAACAACATCAGTCCTCCCCCATAAATAATGCCTGGTCCATCGCAGCGTCGACACCAATGAATTATGCATTGTATGTAAAGCGTGATTTACTTTAAGTGCTCTCATGGCGTACACGAGTTAATATCGTTACATTTGCCAATGAAAAAAAAAATCCATACAAATTCGACTTGAATTTAATGAATATCAATTTTTGTCTTCATTATAACACTAGAATATTTTAATAAATATCATTTTCGTATTGTACTACAGATCGCAGTAATTGTAAAAACAAATAGATAAACCAAACTATTTTGAATCCGGACTTATTGAAGCCGAACTATTGTATGCACTTTTGTCATATTACAGCATTTTAAAAGTAAAGCTTATATTCAAACGTCATTGTTTATATTAATAATTTGAATATATAAAAATGTCAATGTCATACTGTGATGTCATGCGGATTCAGGCACTGTTTGATAGAAATATTATAGTTGTGTGTCTAAAAACAGTGTTATAATTTAGAAATTGACTTCGGAATTTTCTTTTTCATATATTACAATTGTTTGAATTATTTATTGAAATATGTATCTGTAATTTAGACATAAACACATCGATTCATTTCACAAATTGCTTAAATCATTGGCAATGTAATTTTCGGATTTGGGAATCGACACCTGATAATTCGGTTTATTGTTGTAAAGAAGTCGCGCGTTATGGGATGTAGTAATTACTATCGAAGTGAAAAGGTGCAATGTCGCAGGTACGAGATCTTAATTACAGCATCCGACGAATTTCACGCTCCGCCAATGGGAATAACAGCGATAGCTAGCAATGGAACAGGTAAGTGAATCGAGAAATAATAGAAATCGGAAGGGCACAAAACGGATTCGGTGTTCATCTGATGAGCTCATCTAATTTGCCAAAGGATGCTGCGATTTACCTCTCACCCCATCGCAACGCACATCGATATTTGCA